ACTCTGTCGGTGCCGATGGCTGTAAGGATCCTCTTTTCGATCAGGGGCGCCCTTTGCGGGTTTTCATGAGCTGACCTCTCTTATTTTTCTTCTCGCCTTATAGTGCTCTTTATGAGTTTTCACTAACAAGACTCTTTTATTTTTCATTTCTCTTCTTACCATCGCCTAATGGTGCCCGTGTGAGTTTTCACCAATAAGACTCTCTCATTTTTATTGCATCGGATCCAAGTATTCGTATTCTCTGATCCTTGAACATTCTCACCGATTGATCGGAAGGACTTGAAAGGATTTGGGTAAAATGATTTGGATCGAATTAAAACTTTGGAACCATTCAGGCGGGATCATCGCCGGACTATTACAACATCTGCCCCAATTTCACTTTTGGGGGAATTTGAATTTTTATTTTGGTGTGACTGAACCCCAGAAAGAGGTTGCCTACGTATCCTTTCGGAATCAAGTCGAACGTAGTTCATGGTGACTTGAACTTGTTTTGATTGATATTTTTTGTTTCATTTTTCATTTCATTTTTTTTTCAATAACACTTTTAGGTTCCAAAGAGGGTAATCAAAGACTGGGAGCCGGCTCAAAGGGTTTGCAAAGGGTTGATAGTGTTTGGGTAGCGAGAATTAAAGCCTTCGTCATCCCAATTGGAGAATATTAGTACTATATGGAGGATCCAACATAGTATATTTTGACTGTATTTGTATTGACAGTTATTTCAGGGACATTTCCTTCGATGTGTCCCAAGTGCAACGCACTCTTTTGGTAGTACTCTTGTTGCAATGTACGAACCTTTCCAATCCGGGAACCAATTTTCCTTCAATTGTTCCAACTCTTTGTTTTATTTCATTAAACTTTTTCTTCATTGCGATCTAATCCTTGATTTATTATTTCGAGGCCTAACAACTTTCAGGATCTGGGCATGAAGTCCGCAAGCATGTCATGTTATTGAAATCTGCATTTAACAGAACTAAAAAGAGAATAAGAAAGAAAAATGACAAGATTAAGAAAAGAGACATTCCTGGAAAATGAAATATTAATTTCATTTGATTTTTTGATTTTTGATTTTTTTTATTTGATTTTTTTTCAATTTTGTGAAGATAGAAGGGTTTGCATCAGAAAGTAAGACAATAAGGTAAAACATCCGGATCACACCCTGAGATAATCCGGATGCAGAAAGGATAGCAAGACTGGCCACTAAGACTCCCGTTTGATGGGGAACTTTCATGCTTGGCGACCATTTTTGGCTTTTCTTCTATCTCGACAAAGGATGCAACGACCTTCGGTGCCGGATCAAATTCCTCAGCTTCACAAATCATTCTGACCATTGGCCCAATGTTGTGGGCAGTCAACAGATTGTTCATCATATCAGAAGTTTCTTCATCCCGAAAAACGATTCTTTCAGTTTCAATCAAATCTTCAACTACCCTTTTGAGGGTCCAACGGTCCTCTGTACTATTTCCCACTGCTCTAGAGTGGTATTCACATCTAGCATCAGCTTGGTGCGAGGGGGACTCGGGGTTCGGCCATTTCGGGGCCACTGGCTGCAATAGATCTAGTCTGATTAGCTTTTGGAACAAGCTTGAATACGATTCACCAATAGGGGTGAACTGATTCTTTCTGAAAGGCTCTCATGGGCGAGGATTGTATCGGAGATCATTTGGTTGGGGATTATATGGAGCTAGGTAAGGATGTGCATTTCTGGGAGGTGGAGCTCGGTTTTGTGTATAATGTTGTGGCCGCGTGCAAGGGTGCGCGTTCATTACTGCATACCAACAAAACCAACCACCTGAACAGAACCTGACTAATTTGCTCACACCACAACCTCGTTAGTTTTGAGACATTTAACACATAGGAAATCGCACGTTGGGGATGCAATGCACCTAATAGTTAAACATTTCTACCATGTGTTTGAACAGTTGCATGTTTCATCCCGGCCTTAACTAACCCTTTAAGTATGTACCTCTTTTCTTTTATTTCTACCTCTATTTAATCACTCTTGATTTTTTTTATCTCTGTCGCTTTTTATTTATTTTTTTGGCATTCTCCTTTCTTTTTTTTGGTCACTCTTTTATTTTTTGTCACTCTCTTTTTTTCTCTCTTTTTTTTCTTTTTTTTTTAGTTTATTTTTTCCTCAGTTAATTCTATGGTTATGATCGAATCCGATGGGGATTTCCTAAGTATCATGACGTCGCATGAATCAGATCATTACGTAGTTCAGAAAAAATTAGGAATAAAGTACACAAACTAACTCTCGTTTTTTACTCATATACAAATAACTCCACGAAAGCTCCTAACAAGGAAAATAATTTTGGATTTTCTTTTTGGCAAAAAGAAAGGATTCAAAAGAAGAAAGATTTTTTTTTAGATTTCAATTTTTTTTATTGAATTGTTGAAAATGAGACTTCTAAGAAGAGCGATTTTTTTTTGAAATTCAATTTTTTTTTCATTTTGTTTTTGGAATTGTTAAAAGAAAGAATTAAAAAAAAAAAGAATTTTTTTTCATATTTAAAGTTTCTTTTTTTTTTTCTGGAATTTTTTGAAATAAACACTTCTAAAGAAGAAATAATTTTTTTTGAATTTCGAATATTTGTTTTTTCAATTTTTGAAAGGAAAACTTCTGAAGCAAAAAAAAATATTTTGGAATTCAACAATTTTTTTTTTTGGAATTTTCGATTTTTTTCTTTTTCATTTATTTATTTTTTTTGTGATTTTTGAAGAAAAAAAAATCTGATTTTGATTTTTTGTGTGGAAGAAAGACTTATAAAAGAAAAAAGAAGAAAATATTTTTTAATTTTTTAATTTTTTTTTTAAAATTGGGGTCTCTAAGAAATTATTTTCTAAAGAAGGAAGTAAAGGGAAATATATTTGATTTTTTTTTTTGAAAATTGGGGGCCGGAATCGTTGAGGTTTGCCTACGTATCTCACATCCGATGAGAATCAGACCCGCGTAGTTTGGTAAAACTGGGTACCTTTTTTTTAATAATTCTGCTACACTAATTTTCTAAAGCCGGTTGACAATGCAAGTAAGTCTTCCAAATGATGTATCAAGTAGCACATACGTGAACATGATGGTCTCAAATAGGATACCTGTCTTATACGGCCCCGACCCCTGTGCCGAGTTTCGCTAAGTCAAATGCATGTGATGCACATAGAGCGAACCTACTAGGAAAATACGGTATGAGGTTTTTTCTCGTAAGTTTAAATCTTAGTGGAAAAGGTATCTAGACTGGCTTACTCGAGCGGACAACTCGAGCCGAGGAGGGTCAATGTACCGGTAGCATTGCTTTCCGGCTTAACTGGTGGTGCTCCCCACCTAAAATAGGTGTGACTAAAATCCTTCACCGGGTGACAAACACCTCGGCTATCTCAAAGAAAGCGGGCTATGTCAAGCAAATGCCCAATTTTAATTCAAGAAGACTCGGAGGGGGTGCGTGAGAAGACAGTTTATATGTACCATTCAAAAATATCAAAGCGCTAAAACGCAAACAAGTAGCACATTATACCCAAATAAATCACAGTATATACAAAATTAATAAAGCCAAATAAAAGTCAACATGTACAAGCTCGAATTCTGGTTGTCCCCCGCAGAGTCGCCAGAGCTGTCACACCTCTTTTTACCCCTCCAAAAGATAATGTGGGTTATGGATTGTGGGTTAAAGAGTTTTTCCAATTAAAGTGACAATTTTGAAATAGGGATTATTTTATTTACAGAGTCGCCACTTGGAATTAATTTTTGTCGGTGTTCCAAGTCACCTTTTATTTGAATCCCAATTCAAAGGAAGGTTTGACTCTTTTACTATTGGTCCGCGAAAACAAAGTCCAGATAAGGAATTCTGTTGAACGGGGAGAAGGTGTAAGGCATTCCCCGAGTCCCGTGGTTCTAGCACGGTCGCTTTATTGACTACATTTGGCTTGAATTAAACTTGGATAAACGGTGATTTATTTGATTTTTATGCTTTTCTTATGTCCGATTTTACTTATTTGATAAAATAATAATAATAATAAAATGTCATAATCACACTACGCTAACGAATGTGTAATCTAGACGAAATTTATTAGCTTAGTCATAACAGCACTAAGCAAGCGAATCCACAGTCATGACAAATAATTATTAACACGTTATTACTTTCAGAAAAATTACTATATTTGTGCATTGAAAAAATTATTTATTAAGAGTTACTATCGCGCCACGCAAGCGAATCCGCAAGTTTAGTAAAGAGTTTATTAAATTAGAAAATAATTAAAGCTAGTAGAAATAGTATGAGATTACTGAATTAAAATATTAAGAGTTAATATCACGCTACGCAAGCGAGTCCGTGAAATAATAATAAAAAGTTAAAACGGACATACTGGTTGCCTAGCGTTTAAATTAATTAAAGGTACTTAAGTTATTGGATTATTATTACACATCATGAAAATTAACTAATTCTTAATAAGTCTATTCAACTAATCTAGTAAGTATTATTTTGAAATAGATCATATTATTTATTGAGAAAGTGGGCCAATTTGCTTACTTAGTTATGGCATTGGGCCAACATCTATGAAATAAATGGACAAAATATTTATAGATTTCTTAAAAGCATTCGGCCTATTGGACAGAATCTGCCTTGGCCAATTATTGGGCTCTGAAATAGGCACAAGCTGAAAGCCCAATAGATTTCAAATGCTGGTTTACTACGACAACCCACCTGGGCTTTATTGCGAGTCTGGCCTCTTTTGTTCTAAGCCATTAACCCTTATTTTTAACTAGCAATTTCAAACCTATTTAGGATCTAGCGACTTTCTACCAAAAAAAATCTAAAATCCTAGCAGATGGTCACATATAAAATCTGTAAAAATAAATAAAGGTTTCAAGCATGTCTCTTTTGTTATTTTTTCATAAACTGGCCAGAACTGCAATGGTGCAAAAGGAGTCTTTAAGCACATTGCAACCTACTTGGAACATCTCAATTTTATATGCACCAATACTATAATAGATAGTAAAGACAAATAACACATGAATAAAAAAGTGTTTGATCAACCAAGGATTTATTTTACATATGAACTACAACAAGATATATTTAAACAATAAAGAAATTTAGCTAAGCACTCATTTATTTAAATGGACATGCTCCCAACAATCAAGATGAGTTCAAATCTTCTTGTTAATGTGAAAACATCTGCAACATAAGATTAAAGAGTTACCTGAGTCGCAGAATAATAAATACAACAACAAAGAATGGAAGCTCAACAACTAAAGCAACATAAAAATAGCAGCACAACAGCAGCAAAACCAACAGCAAATCCGTGTTAAAACAGCTCGAAAACTCAGAGGAGAAACACAGAAGCAAACTCTAAAGAGGACTTATACTTTTCTAAAAAAAAGGTTTGCACTTTAAGATTCACTCTTAAGACTTACAATTTCAGCTTACTAAAGGATGCTTCAGCTGCTAATTTTTTTTGTTGTATGTTCAAAAGCAGAAAAAAAATCCCTTCCAAAAGTGTGATGGAGTCCCCTCTATTTATCAAAACAACCAGCTATTTCAAAAAATTAAAAATCAATCTTTTTGACAGATTTTCCTACAAAATCTGCTCTTAAATTCAAAAATCCAGACTTTCTAGTTCAAATCTTGTCAAGTATTTCAAACAAAATCTGCTCTCCACTATTCAAAGATAGACTTTATTCAAATAATGTCCAAAGGTCTACATTTTCTTACCAAACAATTTGACTTTTGAGTGTTGTACTCAAAGAGTCTTGAAGCAGTAAACAAACAACCAAAACAAGTACCATATACTCTTAAGTATTTTTCATTACCTGACTTTTATCAATACAAAACTATTTTACTACTTCAACAAGTGCAAAAACAGAAAATTTAACATTTCAAACTTCAAAAATTAATGCTAAAATAATTAATAATAGACAAAAATAAAATTTGAAAAATAAAAAAATCAGCCATGAAAAAGAATAGTATTTTACCATTTTACACATCAAAAGGCCGAAAAAATGGTGGTATGCCAAAGAGGGTGTTCCGGGAGGTCGCCGGAATTAGGCCGGATTTTGGTCGCCGGATTTTT